TCATAAACGGAGTTGCGTAAATGAAAATTAAAATGCAATTTCAGTGAAAAAGCATTTGTTTGCTAAATTATACGAAAACCTTATGTGAACTTAATGCCTTTGATAAGAGGTAAGTCATCCCAACATTAATAAAAATTGAAAATTATCTATTATTTAATAATTCGTGATCATTTTCAGTCTTTAGCACATCAACCATTATTCAATTATTTTAAAATTTTTCATTATACTTTAACTATGCTTACTCACTATATACTTTTTTTATAAGACAAGCTGATTTTCTGCATAACATCGAATCATGTACAAAAACTTCATGTACAAATATCATCTCAAGTAAAACTATCAGCATAATTTGGATAAAAGTAGTCGTGACTCTTCTAGGATAGCCTTTCTGACTAAAACTGTCTTTCTTAGCCAATTTAAATGTTAATATATGCACAAAAAATTAATACTCGATTGAAAATGTTATAATGTAGGTTTCTCAATTTTGTGATACCCAATATCGTAACACGAGTATAGCAGTAAATCAGAGTATGTGTCTGGGGTCGAACCTAAGCCCTGTCACATTTGAAACGTGGACGCAGAACTTAGACAACAAGACGCCTTAATTAAATTGTGTAACTCAAACTTGGTATAGAGTTATTATAATAGTAGCACTGAACTATAAAGTCTTGTAATAATTCTAGATTTCAGTATATTTTGTTGTACTAATCAGATTGATTCTAAACTTACATATTACAAAAATTGCTTTCTCTACATTCTAATAATTATTTCAGTAAGATTCAATAGGCAAATAGAAGAGAAATACATATGCAGACTTATTGAATTTATTATTTATTATAGCCCTATTATTATTTGAAGTCAAGTAGGCTTCCATACTAACCTAACCTTACGTCGCCTAAATATATTATTAAAATTGTTGGATGATCTTTATGTTTGATTTGTAACACCAACAAAAAAAAGGAAGAAGCATATATGCAGACTTATTTATATAAGAAAAACGCAGTATAAAATAACGAAATTCAAAATTAAATCTAACATTATTATATCTAATCAAATTATGTATATCTTGTCTTTAAGATATGTTCAGGTACTTAAAAAAATATGTAAAAAATAGCACATATTATCTATGTAGTTTATCTAATGGTACAGCTCTATTTTATTTCCATTTCTAACTAAAGTTGTAACTAAAACCTGAAAAGTGACTGTCTTTGACTTTTAAATTTGGATTTTTATCCCTAAATCTCATAATTCATGTCAAAATGTTTAAATTTCTCAAACATTTTTAAACTCTTTTAAACTTTTGTAACCATTTTTTTTTTGAATGAAATGAGTGAATTATAAAAGTCTGCAGTTCAACAAGAGTGCTGCATAAATTTAAAATTAATTAATTAATTGGTTTTACGTGTAATATTGGCCAATCATTTAATTGGCTCAACATTGATATCTTCAGTTTTTAGTATAATTTTTCTTCATTGGTTTTTCTTTAGTGTTGATATTTTTGTATATTTTTAAAACTTAACAATACAAAACAATAACAAAATAAATAACAAAAAATTCAAAATCTTAAAGACTAAAACAAGAAAGGTTGTAATTAACCGAAAATACTTCAAAACCATATGTTAAGGTCACAAAACCAATGCCTCGAATAGTTTCAATTATCCCGCAAGCGATTGTAATGATTTCGGTGATAATTTTCGATTTTTAGTACCGTAGCGTGGTTTCGATTTGGTTTTACCTTGGTCTCTACCTGAGCCACGCACACCAGTCGCCGCCTCCGCATTTGGTATTACACCGTATTCTTCACGTTTGGGACCACCGAAGACTTTGTAGCTGCAAGATGAAATCAGAAGAAGTATGGTGTTATATGCAATTCAATAATGCATTAAAAAAATTCTATTAAATATTAATTATTCAATATTTCACAACTCACCTATATCTGTATCCACCTTGTGTGGGTACATATTCGAAGTCCTCTATTACATTTGGCAAGGTGATTTCTACTAACTGTACCTGTCGCTGACTTGGTGGATATATCGCTTCAACACTGCACAAAATGCAAGCAGTCAACAAGATTAACTATACGTAAAAATTAAGTAATCTAGATTATTTAATTTTAATTATAAATTGCACTATTAATTGCAGGTTTTCTTAACAAATTTTAATAAACAATAAGTAACGCACAATTTTCAACTTCGTCATCGTGAGTTTCTGGTGGAAGTCAGCCTAAACTGCAACTGCTACACTTCACTGTTTGTATCGAAATGAAGGTGTTTGTTTATTGTTTCGACCACTTTACCAATCTTTTTGTTTATAATTTTATTTTTTCCAATGATTTACACAATTGAAAACGCCATGAAAAAATAATCGGTCAAAATTGACGACAAAAAAGTTAAGGTTCCGCTCTCCGGACTGTTGAGCCTCTAATCGCGGCTTAATATGCAATATACCTCACCGCTCTGTCAAATTTGTTTGACCATTTGCTCAAATCGTCGTTTGCACGTTATGTCTTGATTGGATACGAAAAGAGGAGACAATATAAAGTTTGTTGCCTTTAAGTTTTGTGCATTAACGACACATATTTTGAATGAATTTCTGATGAATCAATTGCGATATTAGTCACGCTACATTAGGCAATGCGGAAATGAAATTAATTAAATCATAATACAGTAGTAAAGTAGTATTAACACAACTCTCTTATATACATTAAGTGATAACCTAACATTATTTAAATAATAAATGCAATATATAAGAGAATCAGCAAGTGCGAGGAGTAAAGGTCGAAGAGAAAGGGTGTTAGATAGGCCTAATATCTACAACACTTAACAGAAATAGAAAAATATTCAAGTGGTAGTGATAAAACTACTTATAATATAAACACGTAAAGGCAGGAAAGTATAATATAGAATGAAATACAGTAGAAGGTTGTGGAAGATAACGGAAATAAGTTTTAACGAATAAAAAGAACACAATAAGCAGATAAATCATATTACTGTGAAAACTAGTTAAATTAGACAATAGGAATATAATATGTATTTTAAATTTAAAGAATTATGTTCAGAGTTCTGACTTCGTCTTAATACAGCTACTACTTTTACGTGCGATTAATAGAAGAAATGAGCGTATTACAGTAAAAGCTCTGTTTAATAAGCGTCTTATAAACGATTAACTGTTTTACACCCAATTTGTGTGTTTCATACAAAGCACAATCTTTTGAACCGACGCTTCTCTAAAACAAATAGAATTGCTGACCTGGTAGGTGGTCCCTTTAGAAAGTTTTTATTACTTCAAAATAATTTAGAATAATTAAGTATTCAGAATAATTAATTTATATACCAGTATGTCATAAACTATATACATAGGTTTAAATTTATAACATTTTATTGCGGTATTACTTATTGTTATGATGTAGTTCAAAAAGTTATTTTATAAAATAAAGGAAAAATTATAAACTAATTTGCTTTTCAACTGAATTAAAAGTACATGAAGAAGAATTGGTTTATCACTCTTAAATTCATTGTTTTTTTCTCTGTTGGGTTTCTCTTAATTTATTTAACATCATTTGTAACTTTTTTACCATATCTCTTTGCAAATAAACATATCTGGGATCCATTGTTGAGGAAGTTAGTTTAAATTTTTAGTCGTATTAGTTTCATAAACCATATCTATTACTGAAAGCCTACTTTCCATATTTATTTTTCTATTCTTATGGTAATTACATTCTTATAGTAATAATGAATTTATTCTATCATAAACATGAAGAATATTACACCTGCTTAAGTTCAGAGACACTAGTGATAAAATCATTTGCGCTACTCCAGCAAGACATAGTTAAACGTAATATATATTCTTTCTTAATGTATACGTGCTGTCTTTAGAAATCTGTTGTACAATGAGTAAACAAGTATCTGAGCCTGCATTAATATATGGGAGGAATTCTTAAAACAGTACTACTCATTACTATAATTATATAGTGGATAATACGTATATGTTCACTACCTAAAAGTTTACTTAATCCGGATATTTCTAATACACACATACAGTGCTTTATGGTATAGGAAAAATACATGTGATTTCTTTAATGAAAATAATCTGACCTCAAACTTTGAGCAAGACTTTTGTATCAAGAATTAAATAAATAATTAAATAAATAATTAAATATTTTATATATATGTGATATATTTATTTTCATTGCCTATAGAAACTTTCGTAATTTTTTGATTAAACCAAACTTTTAATTTGTATTTGGATACACAACAGCTAACATTGAAGCGATTAATATTATTCTATATTGACAAATATTTTTAAATATTGTATCTATTTTAAATTTATATTTGCATAAAAACAGTTTTTCCCCCAGAGTTCGAATTGCTGAATTAATTAAATTATATTAACAAAAATTAAAAAACTAAAAGGAATGTCCTATAGAAGTGCAAATTTGTTAAAAAAGCAAACGGAATTAAAAAATCTATTTTTCCCAATTACTAATTAATTAATATAAACATATTTATTTTTAATATATTTACAATTTTTTTCATAGTGATTTGTACCGGCATGTATCACTCACTCATGTATATATCTACAAAACAGCAAATTTTATTAATATCTATATATTTTAGTTATATTAAATTTATATTACTATTAATATAAGCAATATATATATATATATAAAATTTTATATGAAATCATATTAAATGACATATTTGATTAGTTAAAAATCACTTTTTTTAATATAGTTTATTCTTCAATTTCTCTTTCTGTCTTCAGCAGTCATTCTATTAATTTTTAGTTATTATATATTTTCAAAATCTTATACGACAGTAACATCATGGGACTGGCTTATAGGTTGTACCATATTAGAGCACTAATTTTACTGCTGGGTTACTTGTTGAATTGTAT